TTTACTCATAGCTTAAAGTTTCACTGTATCAAACTAGATTCTTTACAAAGAAACTTATCAATTTACTCACGGCTTAAAGTTTCACTAGATTTTTACAAAGAAACTTCGGGTTAATTGTCTTTTAATTAGTGCTTATTTACGCATGACTTAAAGTTTCACTGCATCAAACTAGATTCAACAGCATCAAACTAGATTCTTTACAAAGAAACTTATCAATTTACTCACGGCTTAAAGTTTCACTGCATCAAACTACTAGATTTCTTTATATATATCTTCTTTTTTTTTTTTGGTGCTTAATTACGTGGCTGAAAGTTTCTCAGTATCATACCAAATTTTTTTACAAAGAATCTAGTCTTATCTGTTTACTCAAGACTGGAAGTTTCATAGTTTCACAATCACAACACTATACTAGTTCTTTTTACAAACATCATGCTAGTTTTTTATAAGGAATCTAATCTTATCTGTTTACTCACAGCTGAAAGTTACTCATGGCCAAAAGTTTCACAGCATTAAATTTAATAAATTACTCATGCTAAAGTTTTACAATCTAGTTTTATCTGTTTACTCACGGCTGAAAGGTCACACATCAAGATTTTTTTTATTATATTACTCATAACTAAAGTTTTACTATGTTCTTTATAAGAATCTAGTCTTATCTGTTTTATCTGTTTACTCAAGGCTGAAAGTTACGCATGGCCGAAAGTTTCACAGCACCAAAGCTATTAATTTTATTGGTGTTTGATTACTTATGGCTTAAGTTTTACAGGCATTATTACAAAAAATCTTTTCTATTTACTCACGGCCGAAAGTTTCACAGCATCAAAGCTTGATTCATACTAGTACTTTACAAAGGATCTAGTAATGTTACATAATCGATCCTTAAACTAAACCAGAATTACGCTCTATCAAATCGCGGACAGGTCTTTTATTGACAGATGCAACCCTGTAAATATAATTGGATTAAGATAAGTTTTTAACATAAATAACGTATTGAGTGCCACCTAATTCAACCAAAATTTGTTATATAGTAATTTCAGAAGTCTCGACATTTTACAGTCGCATGGAGTGAACTGATCCGGACCAAACTAGTAAAATCCATTAAGCCCTATTAATTTAAGCTTGTCTTATTTAAAGTCAACCTTTGGGTACCATGATAGAAAACTCGTCACTGGAATCAGATTAAAAAACTTTCTTAGTAATAAAATTTGAAAGAAACCGACCTAGTTCTATCTAGCTAAGTATGATAATGTAATATTGTATCAAACGTAGATTTCTGTTAAAGAATAATCGAACGTAAAGCGTGAATAGGAAAGTAACTTAATTTTGACTTTTTTGAATTAATATTTAAGCAGTTACTAATGTTTTTTTTTCTTTTTTTTTGAAAAAAAAAAAATATAGAATGGCCGCTCTATCCAATTCGTAGATATGCAGAATGGCTTTGATATGGGGATGGATTGCTATATTGGCCACTCCATAATATGATTTTGCTATTCTTTATTTAAAGTGGGATGGATTGCTGTATTGGCCATTCCACATTAACATTTTCACTGCTCTTTAATGATGAAAATGAGTGCTGAGTCACTCAGGTTAAATTCTGATAAGAGTTTTTAGTATTTGATTTATTTTAAAATATTTGTATTAATTTTTATTCCTTAGTAGAAGTTTTGCTTAATTTTTTTACTCAATTAAACTTTAATATTATAAAAATAACAATTTTTTTGCTTTGAAAAGTTTATATAAATTATACAATTAATATATATTTTCGAAAGTTCACATAAATAAAATATTCTTTGGACTTTGAAATTTCTTATGCAATATAAATATATGCTGAGCGTATTGATCTAATAAATTACTAGAAAATTATAATTAATAAATTACTATTTTTCTATGTGCAACCTATTCATTATTAATAATCATTTTTTACAGTATAATAACTAACTTTTCGTTTTTATAATAAATGTAGCGGCTGATGCTGAAAGGGTTATCTAAGCTATATGAAAAATATTAATTTAAAAATTATACCCTCATTTTTCTAAACCCAACAAAGTCCTAAACACTAACCCTAAAAAAAATTGTATAATATATTTTATGGAATTCAGCCAAAATTTAAAAATAATTCATATTTATTAATATAAAATTAAATCATAATTTGGGCTGACTGGTCCAAAAAATTTTCATAACTCGGGCTGGCATTTAGCATCAGCCGCAACATTTATTATAAAAACGAAAAAGTCAAAGTGATTGTCTATTTAATAAATTTTGTTATAAAGAATAAAGAAAGTTCTCGAAATGTGTAGATCGATTATTTTTATTATAACATAAAAAAATGTGACTTGATATATTTCATTCTTAATTCTTTTTATTACACCAAAAACTTTATCAAAAACTTTATCAAAAAAATTCATCTCTTCTATCAATCATGTCAATATTAATATCATTTAAAAACTATGAAATTCTACTATGAAATGTCCATATCACTATCACTTTCTTCTAAGTTATCATTGACTTCGTCATCACAATTTTCTTCGCCATCATCAGCTTCATTGTCACTATTTTCTTCGCTATCTTTGCTAACATCACCTTTATTGCCATTATTTCTATGATTTGAGTTGGAACATTCACCAGTATCTTCAGTATCTTCTTCATTAACAATAAACAAAAATGTGCAAGGCAATAAACATTCTTTAATTGCGTTTTCATCATTGTCAATTTCAACTATCCTTTAGAAATTATTTGTTGCTTCAAAGGCCTCTTCAAAACTTTTGTAACATTTTCAAGGAGCCGAAACTTGAATTAATCTGATTCTGTTAGAAAATAATATTCTATTTACCATTTCAAAATCTTTAAAGGGCTTAATTTTAGGAATAGTGAAGAAAAAAAACTTAAGAAAAAGAGGATTTAGTTACCAATAAACCTATTATTTAAAATAGAAAGACAATTTCTTCGATAATTTGACGAAGTTTTCTTATTTCATTCTCATATTGATCTACATTATGATTATTTATATTAATTGAATGCATAATAACTTCTCTTATTGCTTTGTTTTCCTTTCTTAAAGCTTTGACCTCTTTCCTTAAGGCTTTATTTTCTTTTATTAATGAATTTGTCTTAGTTTGAAAATAATCGGCCTTCTTTTCTAAAATATTGTTTCGGTTGCTAAATCTCTTAATTTCATTAACTATTTTAACTATTCGAGATTTTAATGCATTAAGAATTTCAGTATTATTAAAACACTCATCACTTGAAATTTCTTTTCGTTTTAATTGACGTTGATAAAATTGGGTTGTTTTTAAAATATAAGTTTCGAAGGCATTTTTAATTTGATCTGGAGTTGAATTGGGTGAACTAAGGATATTTTTTAACTATTTTTTATTTGAGTCTTTGCGGGGCATTTTTTGTTTTAGAAAATTTTTAATTAAGGAGCGAACATTTATTATATATAATAATTTTGAGTAAAAAATCTCTTGTTGTGTGAAGCTATTAGTAAAACATTTGCTATTGATTTATTTGTGACTTTTCCTTATTTTATCATAAATTTATTACTTGTACATATATTCTTAATTTTAGTTTTATTCGTGAATAATATTTAAAACTGGTTTTGATTAAAATTCGCTCTTAATTTCTATCACTATTGCGACTCCCGAGCAGAATTACAGAATTATTTTAAATTAAGATATGAATAAAACAGTTCCAAACTTGTCATGACCTTTTATCATATGCTTGGTTAATTAAGATACTTCAATTAGAGTACTTGTTATATTTGGATAAATATATTTAAATTACTAAATAATAAGTTGACTCAGTAACAAGTTGACTCAGTAACTGAGTCATGATTTATAGATACGAAAATCCACGTGATTTATCAAAACTATAAATTTTTCAACTGAATCTAATTTACAACAATAAAATACTTAATTATTATTTTATTTACACAAACGAATAAGACATTAGCTTAATGTCGTATCAAAGAGACTATCTATTTCCATCAAATCATGATGATTATTTTAATAATTTACCATCATATGAATCTTATAATTCATTTAACATTAGGGATGTATTAGGTTCTTCTCAAGGTAAGAATTTATAATTAAAATAGTAATAACAAGATAAAAATTAATCATTTAGTTTTGTATAGATACAATTGCATCCAATGAATTTTTTGTTCTATTAACAAATGAATCAAAAGTAAATGATATTATCCAAAACAATGTTAATGAAATTGAACAAAAATTAAATAGCGAACTGAAAACAAATATTAATAACATTAAAGATCAATCTTATAAAATTTATAAGTTGCTTTTTATTATTTCATTTATACTTAATATTTTGCTTCTTTATTATTTTTGTCGAGACAATTTGAATATGGATAACACTAGCTTTCTATATATTTTAAAGATTAATCAGAAATTACAATTTCTTTTCTGATAAATGAAATATCCATTAATAAGATTAATTGAGAATCAATAAATTTCTGGTTTATGGCCTTCTACACACTTTAGCATATATATTTTATATCTTTTGTTATGTATATGGTCTTTGTAATATAAATAGCGTGGCAATTCTGAATTAAATGTGACTTCTTACGTTACAGGCTTATTTATAGGTATCAAATCACGTTATCAATTTTAACAAGAGTACAAAAAATGTATTCTTGTAGTATGCATACAAATAAAATATTGGCTGCTGTCAAAGAAATCAGACAGATTGACATTTTAAAAAAAAAATCAATATCTTAACTTTCATGACTCATATCTCGATGAATTTTGAGGCTACTTTGATGATTTAATATTCAAAAGAAAGCGTAAGATCAAACCTTTCTTTTGAATATTAAATTACTAAATTAACGATTCGCTCATGAATTTTTCCCTAGTTAACACATGAAATCTATGGAATTTTTCTATTTTTTGGTCAGATTGATGAAAATCATATTGGTCAAGGATGAGATTTTTCTATTGGTCGAAAATTTTATATATTTTTATTTCATATTGATACGCTTTAGAGTACTTTTTGAAAAAGCTAAAAACGAACGTTAGTATTCACTCTTCAAAAGAATAATATTTCCTATCGACTTAACAGGGGACCAAAAATATTGAATTTATTAAATTTATACCAAAAATCTGAACTAACAGTTACGTATACTCTCAGTTTCATTTAATAATAATAATAGTTAAAAGTGCAGTTATTAAATGTTGAATGGTTAAAAATAATATTTGGAGTAGATATTTCTTGAAGCGAATTAGAAAATTCTTAATTCAGAGAATCAGTATAATCAGGATTTTCTTGTTAACTACCTCCACTCGTTAATGCTAAGACATGTTCGAGATTTCCATCACTATGAAGACTGGGTGTTTTTTGGCGCGAATTAAGAGATTCTTGATGCAAAGAATTAGTAGAATCAGTAAGATTTTCTTCCCTAGTTAATGCTGAAACATGCGGTGTTTCTTGATGTGAATTAGGGCTTTCATTTAGTCTTTGTATTGTAATATTTTGTTGTCGTCGTTGTAACTCCGATATTGTAGTTCTATGTATCCTCAAGACATGTCTTCGTAAATCTTCAAAATGATGACTACATCCTGGACATTTAGGTTTTCCACTTGATTTACCATGATTTCTTGGAGCCATTCGCTTTAGATAATATCTTGCAACTTCTGTTACAGCACATTAATTTAGTAAAAAAGTAGGTGGAACTATAAATATTGTCCCATCCTTACACACGTTAAACCAAGTTTTTTTAGATTAATAATTTGAAATATATAGTCAGTTATTGTTAAATAACAAGTTTGACTTAACAACTGAGGCCTTAATTATATGTAGTACTTTTTATATTAATGCCAACTGGTTTATGAATATGTATCGATAAAGTAAAATTTGTGTAATTTCTATGATAGTATTTTAATTTTTTATACTGTCAAAATTATAATAAGAAACCGGTTCATTTTGTATAAAATTCATTTGATATTTTTTTATATGTCAGAATCATAATAAGAAACCGATTCATATCAGATATTATATAAAATTCATTTGATATCGATATTGTATAATTCAAAAGAGATAATCTCTTAGTCAATTGATATGACTCCTATAGACAGTTCGAATTTTCAGTCATCATGACATTTCACTGTTAGATCAATATAAATTTTAAAGTACAAAAAATGCCATGCGATATAAATCTATAGGGGACATAACATATAATCCTGTTTTTCATTCTTGAAATCGAGATCTTTTAAAAACCGGTACCAATATAGTAGATTTTATGAAAATCATGTAATTTCTATGAACTTAAAATTAGAGTAGTTTTTATATTGGGCCAAATTTGGCTTAAAAACATGGCAATAAAATTTGTAAGTTTTCATATACAAAAATTCATTGATTTCGATATAATCTCTTATTCAATATAATCTCTTATTCAATTGCTATGACCCTATGGACAGTTCGAATTTTCAATCTTTTTTTAGTGCATCACGCAAACAAAATAGAATTTCACGCGATTTTTCGCAATAGAAGTACAAAAAAGCTATGCGAAACATGCGATTCTAAAGCCTGAAAAGATTATTTTACATGAAAATCTATAAAACTATCACGTCTATTGACTGACCCCTTATGCAGTTCATCCGTATCAGTATATCAGATAAGACTACTTTGTAATAGTGATATTTTTATTGAAATATGTGATTCTAAAGCCTGAAAGTGATATTTTAACTGAAACACGAATAAAAAGTTTATCTTACAAATCTATTACCATACCTCTATGGAAGTTCGAATTTTCGATCATTTTTTACTCAAATAAAATAGAACTTTGTGATTTTCTACATCAGAAAAGATTGCTAGGTCAATAAAGATCTTAAAGTAAAAAGGCCACGTTGTGTATATAAATCGCAATAGCGCAGTCTATTTTGCAATTTAAACTTCTAATATTTTCATTTTTTAGAATTGACCACAATATGCAACCTTATTATTAAACAAATATTTGCTATTAGCTCTTGTCTCGCGAAGTGTAACTTAGGACGTTATATTCTAGGCACTTGAATCTGAACAATCACGAGTTGCACTACGTATAATTAGCCAATCACAGATAAAATTCATACCTTATACAATAACGCGTCAAATTGATATATATTAATGTCACATCTGGTTATTGTGTTTTTATTATCTATTATCTTTATATACGCATAATGCATATAATCTGGTTTTCATTCTTGAAATCGAGATCTTTTAAAAACCGGTATCGATAAGTAAATTTTATGACTTAAAATTAGAGTAGTTTTTATATTGGTGCCAAATTTGGCTTGAATATATGTATAATTCAAAAATGATAATCTCTTAGTCAATTGCTATAACCCCTATGACAGTTTGAATTTTTGATCTTTTTTTAGTGTATCATGCAAACAAATAGAATTTCACGCGATTTTATACACCAGAAAAGATTTTTAGCATAGTTATGTATATAAATCCATATCAGACATAATCAGTATAAGATATGATTGTGATTTGATGCGATATTTTTACTGAAACACACGATTTTGAAATCTGAAAAGTGCAATTACATCAAAATCATCCATTGAGTCCCCCTCTTTGAAAGTAAAATTCACGGCACTTTTTGCAGTTTTTCAAAAAGATTAGTACACACGCGTAAAGATGTTTTGTCTTACCAAAACTGGTAAGTTTATTGACTAACCAGTATTTTCAATACCTTAATGAAGTAAAATTTTATGTGACGCTATTGAATTAAGGAGTTTATTGATCCTTGCAATACTCAATTTAAAGAGAATAAAGCCAGAAAGCTTATTACACGCGTTAGAACAAGTTTTTTAGATTAATAATTTTTGAAATATATAGTCAGTCACTGTTAAATAATAAGTTGACTTAACAACTGCATAATGATAGTATTTGTAATTTTTTATACTATATTGTCGGTTCATATTATATAAGATTCAATAATTCAAAAGAGATAATTTCTTAATTAGAGGTGCGATCCGTAAACTAGTAGTTAATATAAATAAACTGTAGTCTATTGTAAGCCTGTAGTTTAAAATAAAGTACAGTCTGTGGACAGTTTGAATTTTCGATCATTTTTTTAGTGCACGTGATATAAATCCATATCAGACTTAATCTGTATCAAATACGATTGTGATTAGACGCTTTATTGTAGTGATATTGTTACTGCAACACGTGA